CAAAGAAAACTCTTATTAGGCACATGCCTAATACTTCTTCAATGAGATGGACATCATCAGGAATTGCTGATTCTGGAATAGATTGGAGCTGATCGCAGTACCCGATATCTAGACTTCGAAGTGAAGTGAGCGACGAGGGAATACCTTCTTCGAGTAGTGACCAAACTTGAGGTGAATTACGAATAGATAGACGTTTCAGAGAAGTGAGGCTTTTGAGAACTTGGCTGCTTAAGGTTTTCAGATTATTTACTTCAAAACGTCGAATGGAGAAAGGAAATTCCCAATTTTCATCAGCAAGAATCTCTTCGTCACTACCATCATGAATGATGGTTAAATCTGTGAGACGGCGGAGTATCTGTAAAACCCACTCCTTTTGGCCATTCACCAGTTTCTTGCAATACTCGATCAGAAGGACTTCTAAATTGAAGGGTAGTCCTCCTTCAGGAAAGGACTCAATTTCTGGACAATAACGCAGGGAGAGACGTTTAAGAGATGGAAGGAGTTCCTGCATACGTTCTGGCAATGATTTCAGCTTTTGGCATTTGTAAATAAACAAATAACACAACGAGGTCATCTGAATCGTGCATATAGCTGAAATTGTTTCAAGATTCTCACATTCATCAATTTTCAGATCTTCGATCCCAGTGGGAATCAAAAGCCGTGCAAGGAGATGACAACGTTTAATTCTGAATCTGTTGGTATTTGGAAGACTGCTAATACGTATAGAGGTAATAGAGTGGCAATCATCAATATTTAGTGAAGCTATCTGCTTCATTCCCTGAATTTGGGATGTAAACATTTGAGCATCATCAAAAAGAATTCCAAGATTAGGAGAACCAACAACTTGAAGCCAATCTAAACTTAAAAGTTGGATAGGTGTCTCCAAAATGAGTCGAGGACATTTTGAAATTATCAATACTGTCAAAGAACAAAGATTTTCAGGCAACTTCCCAATCAACTTGGGGCAACCTTTAATTGTAAGTCTCTTAAGTGTTGGGAACTCTCCATTCCCTAGTATATGCCACTGCTTCCACTCCAGCATATTTGCAAATTCAAGCGACTTAAGAGAGTTAAATGGCTTTTTGGAAGACAAACCACCATAGAATTCTTCAGTCACCTCAGTTATTCGATGCATCCCTCTGATGGCAAGGGCATTCAAAGAAGGAAGTTGTCCTAGTGCTGGCAAGGAATCACAATCCATGCAGTTGCTAAGATACATTTCTACCAGCTTAAGAAACGAATGAGCAGCTAGCCAATCTGGAAATTTTGTCCCTCTGTATCCCGTGGTTCGGAGTATTTTTATGTTTGTATTTGGTTGTAACTCATCAAGTATGTCTCTCTCATTTTGTGAGTTCTCAGCAATACTTTCGCTCCACTTCAATGATAACTGTTCAACGTGATTTTTTTCTCTCATGTTTGCCTTCACAACTTCCCTTCTATCAACCACATTTTGCAACTCTAGAATTGATAGAGATCCATATAAGTTATGTAGTTGATCCAGATCTCCGATTCTTGAACCGCTGCAATCACCTAGAAGAAATTTAGCTCCCACTAGCACATGAAGGCTTTTCAACTTGCTTAGATATAGCGGCATCTTCAAGCGAGGAATGTTGCTAATATCAAGGTGACGCAAGTTGCTCAACTTTTCCATGTGGTTGTAGCTCCTCAAGATTAAGGCAATATGATAAGAGAAGTGTCTCCAAGTTACAACTTGTTTATCGCTGTCCAAGAAAGGTCCAAAAATCTTAGGAGTTTTAATTTGATAAACAAGGCATTGGGCAACTCCTTAATGTTATAACCAGATAATGATAGTGCCCTTAATGATGTTAATCTTGGCAATATCTTATGCAACACCCTATTACTTAGGTCGTAAATGGGAAAAAAGCGATTCATGCTTATGGGAAGCAATGTCCTCAATTGCTCCAATTTGCACAGGGATTTCAATTTCTCAAATTCTCCAAAGCTCATTGAATATGATAAGTGTCGAGTTTGTTCCAATATATGAGATCCTTCGTTGTTTTCCAACCTGAAGCAAAGATTTGAACATGCAATTTGGGCCAGATCATTGACAAGGTCATGCATTAAGAACATCTCAGTCCCCGTTGGAAAAGACGTAGGGACCCTTTCGAACAATGATCTTGATCTCAACTCGAGAAAGTATTGGTTTCCTGACTCTTCAATTGATTCATCTTTCTGTAACCACTGTACAAGACCATTAGCAATCCACAGATTAATAACTTGTTCTTTGCAAAATAGATGATCTTTGGGAAATATTGCACAATAGGCAAAGCATCGCTTTAAATGTACAGGAAGATCATTGTGTTGAGAAGCGTATCAAATTTTGGCCTACTCCACGGCCACACAAAGAATAGCTCTTGATTGAAGAGAGAAAGAAGAAGTTTTGGGATGATCTACAAATGAAAATGTAGACCCCTATTTATAGGCATTTAAATGCCCTGCCGAGGTAAGCGCTTACATCATAAGAATGTTGAGGTAAGCGCTTACATCACAAGAATGTCGATGTAAGCGCTTACATCATATTTTCATCTCTTTTTGATTTTTCTTTCTTTTGTTTTGTCTACTTTCACATACAACAATAGGTTTGGTCCTATCAATCTCCCCCTCAAACCTATGTTACATCAAGAAAGAAAATAAAGAAAGATTTGCTATTCTCTGGTGGCACCTTCACTCTATCAGTCTTGAAGGCTAACTGAGGCAGTGCACAGCCTCAGTTTGTCAACACCGACAACTTTGGTCAATATGTCTGACGGGTTCTTTGATCCTGGTATCTTCTGCAGGGAAAAAGTTCCTTCGTTTATCAACTCTCGGATATGATGATACCTCAACTGGATATGCTTTGATCTCGCATGAAACACTGAATTTTTGGCAAGATGAATTGCACTCTGGCTATCGCTGAAAAGCTCACAATTGTCCTGCTCTTTACTTAGCTCTTTAAGAAAATTCTTGAGCCAAATCATCTCACTTCCAGCTTCTGAGATTGCCATGTACTCTGCTTTAGTGGTAGATAGAGCAACACTTTTCTGAAGTCTGGACATCCAACTAACAGCAATACCACCCAAGGTGAACACGTAGCCCGTGGTACTTTTTCGACTATCCAGATTGCCGCCTAAATTTGCATCAGCAAAACCTTGTAAGATAATATTTCTCTTTTTAAAACAAAGTGCCATACCTGAGGTGCCTTTGAGATATCGCAATATCCATTTTACACCTTCCCAATGCTCCTTTCCTGGATCTGACATGTATCAACTAACAACTCCAACTGCATGGGCTATGGCAGGTCTAGTGCAAACCATAGCATACATCAAACTTCCTACTGCTGAAGCATACGAAACTTTGGACATGTACTTCCTTTCTTCATCTGTCTTAGGTGATTGGTCCTTTGACAGATTTAGATGGCTTCCGAGTTGAGTGCTTCTGGTCTTTGCATCATGAAGACTGAACCTGCTTAGTACCTTCTGTATGTACCAGTTGTTGGGAAGCTATCAAGCTAATAGAAAGAAAAGAATATTTAAGAGAGAAAAGCAATAAATTGCACAAAACAAGACAAGACAAGATTTACGTGGTTCGGCAATTTTTGCCTACTCCACGGCCACACAAAGAATAACTCTTTATTAATTGAAAAGAGAAAGAAGAAGTTTTGGGATGATCTACAAATGAAAATGTAGACCCCTATTTATAGGCATTTGAATGCCCTGCCGAGGTAAGGACTTATATCATAAGAATGCCGATGTAAGCGCTTACATCATAAGAATGTCGAGGTAAGCGCTTACATCACAAGAATGTCGATGTAAGCGCTTACATCATATTTTCATCTCTTTTTGATTTTTCTTTCTTTTGTTTTGTCTACTTTCACATACAACAATAGGTTTGGTCCTATCACATTGTAGCTCAACATCAATGCTGGTAAGATGTCATTCGAACGACTTGGCAGCTCCCATATTTCACTTCTTAGAATGTCTCTCCATTCTTCTACCTCTGATTTGGAGCGTAACATACCTGCAAGTGCCTTCAGAGCTAAAGGCAATCCTTTGCACTTGGTGGCAATTTGTTTACCAACCTCTTCAAGTTTTGGATGTTCCTCGAGATCCCTGTTTTCTAATGAATGTCGTTTGAATAAATCCCAAGAGACTTCATTAGATAGAGTCCCCACGTTAATAACCCCACTACCCATCATCAAGGCAACACTCTCCTTACGTGTCGTCACAATGATCTTAGTTCCAATTTCTCCTTGTGCAAAAGGATTTCTCAAGTCATCCCACTCGATGTATTTGTTATTCCAAATATCATCTAAAACAATAAGAAACCTTTTTCCCTTTTAAGCTTTCCTTCAGTTTGATCTGAAGCTGATTAAGATACTCACCAACCATAGAGTCAAATGATCCAATTTCTTGAAGTAACCCTTTTGTTATTCTAGAAGCATCATATGGTTCAGACACACAAAACCAAGCTTTCAAATCGAAATGGTCTTTCACCTTCTCATCATTGTAAACAACTTTAGCAAGAGTTGTTTTGCCAATCCCAGCCATTCCAACAATAGGAATTACAGCCAAATTTTGCCCATTTGCATCAATAGACAATAAACGGTCAACCAATTCCTCTATTTCATTTTGCCTACCAAAGATATCAGAGTCATCAACTACAGAAGTTTCTTGTCTAATACTTCTTTGCTTAGCCGAATCAATATAGGCTTTGAGGTCAAGGCGACCAATTTGTTTTTCCAACTCCTCCAACGTTTCAACGGTGTCTTCCAATTTCTCTTTTATGTTAACTTAAAATTCATCACTCAAGCACAAGTTCAAGTCACTTACCTGTTGGTTGCTTATTTTTTCAATATTGATGCTGACCTTCCACTTTAAGTCTCAAAACTTCATAATTGATTTCTTCCATTAAGTTTTCAGCATTGTCCACAGCATCCTGAAGCTCATTAAGCCACTGGCTCACGTACGAATTTGATGCCTGCTTGTTCTCTGCATCTCTTAGCACAACTTGAAGACCAAGCAAAGTCATCCTCAGCTTCTTAAATAGCCGAAAATCATGCTTTTCCCTCTGAAACATCTTGAGCAGCTCACCCTGAGGAGCAAGCCTATCAAAGAGAACTGAAAGGCCTGAAGAGATAAATGCACTACCAACTGCTAAGCCAATCTCCATTTTTAAAAGTCTCTAAAATTAATATGTGCTAAGAGATTTATTTTACCTCTTCAATGCTAGATAATAATCTAAACAGGTCTGGTATTCTAACTATGTGCTTTAGCAGAAATTACTTTTGTCTTATAGCTGTATATTAAGACTGTTTCTCTTCTCACTTTTGCTATCATTTGCCACTGCTATATAGACAATTACTCCATATTTTTCTTGTTTTATATAATTTGGCAGTTACATATAGAAAGAAAAAGGACAACATTTTTTCCAATGTTTGGTCATTAACTATTACAAACAATGTAGTCCGGCCACTCTAACTACATCCCATCAGCACGGTCAGGGGCGGATTTAGGGGGGCGCAAGGGGTTCACCCGAATCCCCTTCGCCGAAAAAATACACTGTATATATAAGGCAAAATCTGTTTTTTACCTCTATATATTAAGTTTTGAACTCCCTTAACACAATCCAAAAGTGTAGTTTAGTGGTCAAGGGGGTTCAAAATCTACATAAGGTCATGGGTTCAATTCCCACTAGATACAAAAAAAAATTTTGAACCCCCTTCGTGGAGATCCTGCGTAGTCAGGAAATTCAATAAGGTTTTGAATTCCATTTGCCATTTTGGTCCGTTCCAAAAAAAAATGACCCCTTTCTAAATTTGGTAACAATTTAGCTTAAACTTACAATTCTATCCTTAACGAGAAACTTTTATAACCACATAAATACTTTGGGCCCCTTTTTAACTTGTTTAGGACCACAAATTCCAAAAGTCTTCATTTTTTCTTAAACTCCGTGCCCAGTCAAAGAGGTTCACATAAATTAGACGGAGGGAGTAATATTTTTACTTTATACATAGTATAATTTTCCGACGAAGAGTAGTCAACTGACCACCCTTGGGCCAACATAACTACGCCCCTGTAGCCACATAAAGTGAAGGGTGGTCAGTTGAATGCCCTTTATTGGATAATAATATATACTGCATATATAAGTCAAAATTTACTTTTTATACACTGATGTACTACATCTTGAATATCCTAAGCGAAATTTCTGGATTTGCCATTGTTCATAATTACGGTTAAAGTGAAGAAAGTAACCAAACCATCCTTAAAATAAATTTAAGAAAAAAACAAATGGACGCAAAGAACTATATATTCACGTACTAAAACAACTTTTCTTTAAAAAAAAAGAGTCAGAAAATGACAATCAAATAAAATCAGAAGATGAAAAAGAGCACAGTACCTTGTGTTGGTTTATTAGAACTTTGTTGGGTTTGCATTGACATTGTCAATATTTTTTAATCTTGTAATCATATATTTGTATGAGATGTGAGGTTAATTAGATGCAGGCGGCAGAGGAAACAAAAGAGCGGAAATAACGAAAGGATTTATGTTGAGAATTTCGTCGAGAAGGAATCTAAAGATTGAATTTTCCCAAGGGACAACAAGAGTCGTATTTATTGATGTGAGTAAAAATTTACTCACTCCGAATGTTTATACCAAGCCAATGCGTGTAAGACATATATCTCTGTTTCTAAACATGTGGCACTATATCTTGTGTAAAAATGCTTGATCAACAATTTTTCCCTTCTCAATTTGAGTAAAGAGACAACCAGAACTTTTCGTTGGCTTTCTTAAAGGGTGTGATGTGAAATGAAAGTTGCACCTTTTCATCAAATAGAGTCTGCACTGTATGATTTATTCCGTCATTTGTGTTCGTAGAATTTCTATAAAAGTGTCGTTATTACAGAATAAATTTTCTATCTTACAAGGAATTAATCCGAAATTCCGAATACCTTGGGCAACATTGGTGGGACTAAAATCCTTAAGGACGCACAAGAAATTTTGTGGGCTCGGAATATTTTTACATTTCTATTCTAACTTCTGATTTTCTGGTTTTGAACGCAGTTTTACTAACACTTTTCCATTCCGTAATGATGGTTGAACTTTGTTCAAATCCTAACAGTGAAAACAATATAACCTTCTTATAATCTAATCATAACGTGCAATATGCTATGTGTTACGTATAACCAGTCTTTTCTCATGGAAGATTGTATTTCTTTCAAAGAAAAAACTAAAAGTGTGACTCCTAACGGCGTGTAGTTTCAATACGTCATAACTCACAATTAAGACTTCAAAAGAAAAGGTCAAATGTACTGAGTAAACTATTAATGACATCATGATACATCCCTGGAAGAGTGTATCAATTTCCTCTCTGATGCAAAATAAGAGTATAGTGTATTACCAAGTTCAAAGCTGCCTAAAAAGAACCAAAACAAAAAAAAATAAAAAATAAATATGAAATGTACACATCTCCTGGAAGATGACAATTTAGTATCCATTCAGTATTACCTATCGAATGCAGTGTAGTTAGAAACTCAAAAATCCAAATACTGAAAAAATCTTAATATTTGCTATCAAATGCAGTGTAGTATAAAATGACAATTTTAAAATACAGCCCAGGCTTAGACAAGAAGCAATGGCAGAAATGCAGAACAACAGAATAATTTAGTAACAAATGAGAGCCAAGCCTCAGACTAGTACCAGAAAATCTATAAGCTAAATAGTCCAAATAAACAAATTAAAGAATTACTCAGAGCAATGCATAAACTCTGAAAACGTAGAGCTTAATTTCATACTAAGCAAATCACAAAATTGTGGACATAGAAATAACAAGTCCTTTTAATTGATTTTTGACTTTGAGGTGGAGGCTATTAAAACTGGAATGAGGTGGTGTTTAGACCACGGCTTTAACAAATTAACTATTGAATCAGATTCTTTACTTGTTCTTCAAATGATAAAGGGAGAAATCTCCACGGCATGACAAATCAGAGAAGAAGTTAAAGAGATTCAAGCAATGAACACAGATGGACAGTTTCAATTCACTCACACCTTCAGGAAAGGCAACATTCCAGCTAATCTTCTAGCAAATTTAGCGGAAAGAGATAGAAAAAAACAGTTCTTCATTGGGGCTATAAACATGCCAAGGCAAATTACATCCTCAGTGAAAAATGATGAGCTAAGAAGACCAAGTTTTAGAATTAAGGTGAGGAAGAACACCTTCATCTTTGATCCAGGTTGAATGTGATATTTGTGCTAAGTTCATACTTAGCAATTTTTCGGACCTTAATTGTTTTAGGAGTGACCATCCTTTCTTTCTGTTATCTTAGGGATAAGACAATTGTAAAGTTGGATTTGTCCAATTAACTCTATTTTGATGAGGTCAGGTATATGCCCCCCTTTATGTTTCTTCTGAGTTATCTTCAGTATAATCTCCTATGGAGAACCTTTGGTTTTAAAAAAAAAAAAAAAGACTTTGACATAGGAGGAAATTTCTGCACAATATTTATGCACACAAACACTCATGCGCACATGTAACAGTCCATTACTCAAATGGTCACATAACTATCTCAAATTATCTCCTAAAGTCACTTTACTTTCGTTTGTAACAACAAAGTCACTGAACTATGCTTATTGCATTCAGAAGGTCACTCAACTAGATTTTCCAAATTTTGGATTGCCAAATATCTATTTTACTCTAAATTATAAACATTTATCTTCTTTTTATTTTTTTAAACTTTTTAATATTATGATTTTCCTTTTTAATTTATATTATGGACTTATCTATAGAATAAATAAATATTATTTATAAATTTAAAAAATAAAAAGTATTTAAGCAAGTATAATGCTGGAATAACAAAATAACGAGCTTAGTAAAAAAAATTAATTAGAATAATTTGTTAGTAATAATAATTTTAGTATTAATAACAAAACTTCAAAAATTTATTTACACAATTCAGAATGAAAGAAAATAAAGGTTTTAAAATATATATTCCATGCACGTAATACAAAAATAATTATTTAAATAAAGATATTTTTATAATATACATTATATATTCTTGAAAATTATGCTCAATTATATTATATATATTCCATGCACGTAATACAAAAATAATTATTTAAATAAAGATATTTTTATAATATACATTATATATTCTTGAAAATTATGCTCAATTATATTATTATGTTTCTATCAACTTTCCGATGACACAAAGTTATGTCACCGGAAAGTAGGGGGACTATCTGTATAAGGTAAAATATACTATGTTAAATCGTGCATGGAATATATATAATATAATTGAGCATAATTTTCAAGAATATATATGTATATTATAAAAATACTTTTGTTTAAATAATTATTTTTATATTACATGCATGGAATATATATTTTACAACATTTATTTTCTTTCATTCTGAATTGTGTAAATAAATTTTTAAATTGTTGTTGTTAATACTAAAATTATTATTACGAACATATTATTCTAATTAATTTACTATGCTCATTATTTTGTTATTCCAACATTATAGATTATAGATGCTTAAATACTTTTTATTTTTTTAATTTATAAATAATATTTATTTATTCCTTTAGGTAAGTCCATAATATAAATTAAAAAGGGAAAATCATAATATTGAAAAGTTAAAAAAAGAAAAGAAGATAAATATTTATAATTTAGAGGGTAAAATAAGTATTTGGCAATCCAAAATTTGAAAAATCTAGTTGAGTGATCTTCTGAGTGCAATAGAAATAGTTCAGTGACTTTGTTGATACAAACCAAAGAAAAGTGACTTTAGGAGATAATTTGAGAAGTTGAGTGACCATTTGAGTAATTGACTCGCACATATAATGATGCCAAAATCCTAATAAAAATAGATAAGTTTACAAAAGTTAATACTCAAAAGTTCCATTTTCTTTTACATGTATATCTTCTACTTAGAGATGTTAAATCACGAGGAGAGAGCTTATATTCGTTTAACTTGGCGTGAATAAGAGATCTGTGTATTTCATGACCAAGTCTAAAATTAAAGGCAAAATCGAAACACAAAAAAGAATAAATGCTTAAGAGGACATAATTATCTATTTCTTTCATGTAGGGAAAACCGTCAATGCTCCACATAAGACTTAACACTTGCACAGATTTTTTTTCTTTCTCAAACTGTGAAACAGACCATTAATGCTGAGACGATTAAAAAAGAAAAAGAATTAATGAACAAACAAAGGGAGTCTTGAATAAATAGCCACGTTTATTTGGAGATAATAGGACCAACGATCTTGGCCGCTATATTGAGCAATCTTTGGACACTATTTCCATTTTC